AGATTTTCTGTACAGAGTCCTAACCAGCGAGGTCTGGTTGTAGCCCATGTATTGGTCTTTGGAAGCTACACAGCAAAGGCCGGTCCCTTGATGCTCAGCACAAACTCTGGGCCGTCAAGAACTCAAAGCTGCTCTTGCCACTTGGCACGTAGCCGAAAATGGCCAGCAGGATGTGAACTTTGTCCCTTGATCTGTTTCAAGCTGCAAGCATCCGGAGATGGTCGCCAGACACACCAAGGTGGTCTTTCCGTCCTACATGGCGCACAGCGTCTACCCTGTTGTGAAGGGAGAAAGGCTGGGATTTTCCATGACACGACTGCATTGTGACCTCATTCACACCATGTCATCCCTGCAGTCCCGCAAGTTTCCTGCAATCCCGCTCTGAGGGGTTTTCACCATGATGAGCAGATGAGATGCTGTGTCTATATACCCTCCAACTTCAACCATCATGGTTTCGTAGAGTTGACCCCTTTGGTTTAGTTTAGTATTCGGAACATCCTCTTCCTAAAGGCCATGCCATCCACTTCCACTTCGGAGGGAGGGTAGTCTTTGTGGACATCAGGCGCGCGCTGGTGGCCTGGATCCGGGGTCGCATCAAAGATGGGCTTTTGGCCGAAGCCATGGGGGCGCACCTGCGCGCCATCCAGGACTGGGTGGAACAACCGGAGGATACCTGTGTGTATTTTCATGGGGAGATCCCCAACCGGGATTTTGGTCTATGTTCCTTCTTCCAAGGGGGTCTTTAAGGAGGTCTAAGGTCGTCCGGTGATGGGAGGCTTAGATGATGCGGTGGTTTCAATGGGCTTGGAACATAGGGAAACATAGAAGAACTGGAGAATCAACAGATCCATTTGGCAAGAGAGTTTCTCTCCCACGCCAGTTCCACCCCTTCACAATTCATTGGATGTTTAGGTTCCTCAATCAAACAAGCAGCTCGAATTGGACTCCAAGTGTAGAAAAGAACTTCAGTGCTTCAGATCCAGCTATGGACTTTTGATATTTTTTCAGGACACGGGCAGCTGGAAGCTCCTGGCGCACAGGAGTCAAGCCAAGAAGGCTGGCTCCGTAATATCATTTAGACTCAGACGAACATGAGCTGGTTTCGGAAGTATCTTTCAACTCGACCATGGAATGGTGGTTGAACGGATATTCTACCTTTTGAGCCCGTAAAAACCCTTTCGAAGCACCCAAGAAAGTTCCGGTCGCTCCACCCTTTTTCCATGAGCGTACTCTACCAACTTCCCTTTCCCAAGTCCTCTTATGTCCAACTATGACCGCTTTGGATGTCACTGGATCTTTGACCTGCGTGAACCGCTTGGTGTCGTACCGTACCGCCCGGAAGTACCCGGGCAGACGGCGGGGACGCCGGCGGCGCTGGTGCCGGCACCCCTGGGGCTTCGTCGGATCTATGGCAGTCACTTGCTGCAGACGGGGCGCCCCAAGGAGGCCGCGGAGGTGCTTCGGCGCGTGGCACTGGAGGACGGGGGTCCGGGGGTCCGGAGGTGATGGGAGGATGGTGTTGTAGATGTTTTGGGTTGATGTGCCGTGCCGGGTGATTCTTGTTATATATATATATAATATATAATATAGTGGTTCTTTGGTTCTGACTTTTGTGGTTAGCGGAGCTGCATTTGCTTTTTGGGTGTTTTTGGGTCCTCTTCATGGCCCTACCTGTCCTTACAGCAGCGACATGTGTTGCAGGACCCTCATTCGCCCGGTGCCTTGAATAACTTGGCTATCGCGGAGTACCGTCAGGGTCATATGCCAGCAGCCATTGATCCTTGGCAAAGTTAGAGCCCTTTCACAATAGGGAACAGCTCTGATGTTTCTGCAGCAAGATGTCGCCAACAAGAAGACCAGCTTCACCCATCTCAAAGATGCTTCTTGAGATGGATATGTCTCTTCTCTTTGTTTCTTTGTTGAACCCGACACTTAAAGGCCAAGGTGAAGGTCTCAAAAACAACCAAGCCAGCCTTTCAGTTGGAGCATGGTGGCCCTGGCAGTGACGGGCACCTGTGACGGGCATGGCACCTGTGACGGAGCAGCGCTTCAGCTGCTGAGGACGCCTTGCTCTATGCGGTGCGTTTGCGGCCAGAGGATGGCTTGGCACTCAGAGGGATCAATGGGATGCAGCGGGGTCACGGTCGTTTCCTGCTCTGCCAGGGAGAGATGTCGGTAGATCTATTCGTAGCCACGGCCAGTAGGTTTCATTTTTCTGCTCTTCTCGAGCTCGATCGATACACATCCGGAGAAACAATCTCATGTCTGCATAGTACCCAGTACCTATCAAATCAATTCAAAAGACACTTCACGGCCTCCTCGGGGGCAGGTGAAGTGCAAGCCAACTTGGGCCGCTTCTTCTACTTGCATGGCCGCCCTGCACTGGGCACCTATCACCTCGCCCAGGCCAATCACGTGGGTTCGAATCGGGGTTCCAATCGGCTTGGACTCGGCGGACTTCCGCTGAGCTCGGGCGAAGACCCGTAGCGAATTGCGTTGAATGCCTATAGCAGGTTTCAGTGATTTCCAGTTGGATGTCCCGTAATTATATTCTTCGGGTCTTTTTCAAGTTCGCGTGGCTTTGAAGCTGAGCACCTGAGCACCTGGTTGGGGTTGCTTCCTGCCAAGTCTCACCCGGTGGCCGTGGTCGTCCCCTTCTTTCGTCCCAGGCCGTACGCCTGTGGCATCGATCGGTGACCTGGCGGGATACGACACCTCACACCTCTCACGGAGACCTCAGACGGTGCTCGACGGTGCTCCTTTTTAAAGCTTTTAAGAGATGTGCTTCAAAACCATTGAAAAGCGTTTAAACTCTGATCATTCAGCCCATTAAAGCTTTTTTAATCATTCATCTTTGAAAGCCTTTTTTTTTATGGGCTGCTCATGCTAGTGGGAGTGGTTTGGAATTGCTAGATTCTCACTTGCGCCCTTGCACTCGCATCATGTGCGGAGTGTACCAGTCCAGCGTCTGTACGGGGGATTTGGAGGAGGAACACTGTTCCCGCAGCTAATCACAAGGGGAGGTTGAGGTCTGACGGTCCTTTTCTACATATTTCTACGCTTTTTAATGCTATGTTCAGGGCTTCTTTTTACGTTTTGGCAGGTGCGCTAAAACCACAGCCGGGATTGACGAACTTTCAGGGAATTGGTTGCGATGCAGCAAGTGAGAATCAACGCTTTAAAGGTATACCTGAACCCCTAAACCTGGTGAATAACTACTCAGTCTAACTTATATACAAATGAATAAATATATAACACAGAGTATAAAAGAGTCCGATCGCTCCGTTCGTAGCGATGCCCTTTGTTCCTAGTAGCGTCCTTGCTCCTAGTAGTACTTTAACACAAATTTATGTCTATTCGTTGTCTTTCTTCGACTTGATAGGTTGCCCAGGGGCATGGTGGCGACAGATTTCTTTCATGAACAGTACAGCAGGACTTGCAGAGTGAGACAACGCAGACACCGCCAAAGACAACCATGTAACAATGGTTGTGCTTGAGCTTGGGTGGAGCTTGTTCCAAAACGATTCATGACAAGATGCAAAGCTGCAAAACGCAATGGTCTATTCAAAAGGCACACCAGTTTCTTGATGCCTTGAGTCAAGGCTATTCTGCTCACCGCCTTCATCATGACGCTTTACTGCTGCGTGGCGAAACGAAAGGGATGGAGATTCGGTGCGAAACCCAAGGCGTGGAAAAACCTTCCCACCTGAAAACAGAGGCCCTGCAGTGTGAGGAAATGTCTGGTCTTAGAGGGGGCCAGAAGACTTGGTTTTCTTCTTGATTCTCAGACTTGGAGCTTTTTGGGATCCCTTGGCTCAATGAACTTCGAGGCGGTGCTTTGGCCTTCGATTCTGCAAGCGAACCGTCCCTGAAAAACAAGGTTTGGCTGAGAACACATCGGGAACCCTGGAGTCACCCCAGCCTTCCTAGTGTGAGACAGACGGCTCCAAGGTAGTGTTTGTGCTGGCCTCAGACATCCGTGTTGCGGCGCTGCATGTTTGTTGCGGCGATAGAAAAGAGCACGTTTGATTATGTGTAATTACTGTATGTTAATATTTAGAGAGAGAGAGAGAATGGAATATATATATATCATATATTCATACATACATATGTACACAAGTAGTATGGTAGGCTTTTGTTACCCATGCCGGTTTGGAGCTGTGCGCATCACTTTGCTTGAGCCTGTGAGCATGACAAACCGTATTTTGGTTCCTGCTGGAATTTCCGACATTTTGAAAGCGTGGGCTTGAGGCTCTCAGAGTTCATGTCCTAAACTAACGAGGGGTATTTGATCAAATAGTCAGATGCTGTGATTTCCATTCATGGATGGTTCACACCAGACGCCCAGGTGGAGTCTTTTGGTGCTGTTGTTTGAAGCTGATTGGCTGGCCACGACAGGCTGGCCGAGCAATTCAATGGCCTGAGGTTTGAAAGGGGCAGGCTTAGCGGCTTTAGCGTCAAATCTTCCAAAAGAGATCGAAGAGTGATATGAACCTGTGAACCCAGAACATTTGGTTGAAGAGTTCATGTTATTGTTTGTGCTTTAGCACATCTTGTCACCTCCATGCAGCGCGGCACATGTGAAGCTTTTGATGTGGGTGCTTTCCTCGCAGGTCAAAGAGGCGCAGACGGCTGACGATGCGGCTGCGCCAGAGGAAAAGGGCTGCGAATGGCCCAGGGAAGGCGGCCATGAAGGACCAACCAATGGCAGGGTGGCCCACCGTGGTCAAAGGTGGCCACAGGAGTGTTGCGTCTTGTGGTTGGGTCTTGGGGGCTGCTGAAGGTTGGAAGATCCAACCTTTTGGACACGTCCATCCCACGTTCGTGTCAATAGCGCCAAGAGCCTAACGCTTTGTCAGCCAGGCACACGGGGCAAGAGCGCGCTCCTTGCCTGAAGGGTTCCAGTTGTTTGCTGTGCAGCTGGATTTCTATGCCCAGTCAGAGTTTGAGAAGGCCTCCTGCATCTTGCGATACTCACGAAGAGTTTGTTCCTGTTGCGGTATCAAAGTTCCCATTTTTTTTGGCACAAGCGGGACTCCTATCAAGTCCATGCATGGTGATTAACAGTCGGTTGTTTTGTTTGTCTTAGTGATAGTGTGAACCGCAGTGAGATCCGATGAATGCATTCTTACAACAGGACAAGACACGTTGTTTTGAGACTGACATAAGCTTTCTGTAAAAGCCAGCTATGCCATAGCTATGCCTCTTTCTTCACTCATGCGGTCTTCCTTGGTTTCTACGGGTCTAAGGCCGTGAAAGCCATCGAAATCCGCGGGGTGAAAAATCCCACGAGGCGACGGTGTTTGTTTCGGCGGAACGAACATCGCAGGTCGGCCGCTCCAGGTCGGCCGCTCGGACCATCAGGTCGGCTTTCCCCAGGAAGAGTGGATCCAAAACCTTTTGTTGGAGATGGCATTCCCCACCTAAATGGGATGAAAAAGCTTCATGAGTCAGTTCACCTCCATTGTCCAGGCGCAACTGGCAGAGTCCGTCTCGGACCAATTCAGGTCCCTTCGCTCAACCTCCTTCTTCCCACGGAACCTCCATCGCCTCCGCCAGGTTTCAGCGAGAGATCCACATCGCCAAGAAGCTGGATCATCCAAACGTGGTCCGGCCCGGTGCCTTATGTGGTTTCGCCCCCCCGGTGCCCCACGGTTCTGGCGGTTTGAGAGGTCTGCGGTCAGGCGACATACCAGGTCAACCGCACCCGGTTGTTTGGGGCGACCAAAACCAAGGTCTCACCTCATTTGGGGGCTCACCCCAGTTGGGGGCGTGTCTTTTGGTGTGGGAGTCGCGATTCCTCGGAAAGTGGAGGTTGCACAATACCCAGGTGAGCAACCACCCACATCTGCGACCAATTAGGAAAGAGAGGGTGTTGAATTTCAAGAATTTGGCGAATGCCTGTAAAGGATATAGGCCCTCCTTGAAAGGGACATGCCCGTTCTATTAAGACGTACCGGCAGATGCTCGGGTACGGGGAAAGGAGTACAAGCATGAGTAACCCTCCAAACTACGTAAGGGCTGTTATGGATGCCTCGATCACGGGATTGAGACATTGATTGCTTTGCGAAGGGAGGAGCTTGGCGGAGATGTTAACAGATTTTTGACCCTATCAACACTGGTGAGAAAGGGTATGCGGGTATGACGAGTTCAGCAGCAAGCAAGCAGAGTTCAACATGCAATGCCCACTCTGAACTCATTGCATTGCTATGTATATGTTCGTTTTTAATCTATTTTTCATTGTCCAAAGCCAGGCTCTACGAGACCTTCAAAGATGCAAAGAAGGCACGGGGATGCACAGGGGAAAGCACGTGCCTCAAGCCATGGAGCCGCGGTGCCCGCTGCGAGAGACCGGCGTTCGTTCTGCCCGGTGAAAACGCTCTCCGAAACGCAATTTCGGCCTCTCAAAGCACTCTCCTTTTGTCTTTCGTGCTTCTTTTTGGCAGATCTACTTGGTCATGGAGCTTTGCACTGGGGGCGAGCTCTTTGACCGCATCGTGGATGAGGCGAGTGAGGGGATGACTGGGGCCGACGATTTGTGTGGAGCGACGATTCGAACGGTCAGTATGGAGTGAGTCCGTCAAAGGAGATGCCCACCTGCGAGGTGTTTGGTTTCGACACCACTCGCGCCATGTGGAACCTTCAGACTAAAAGATCTCAAACAGTCGTGAACGGTTAAGGAATAATACGTGGCCCCGAAAATGGATCGTTTAATTTTGCACATTGGAACAATCTAATTTGAACCTGTTTCAATCGTCATCAATAGTCCATTCAAGGTCATTCAAAGTCTATTCGAGTCTTATTTCCTACTGTCACCAACTACTGCTATTCAGGTCGCTTTGGATCAAGCCACCAAGTGAGTATGCATCATCTGAAATATCTTGCCCATCCTTCGTTTGTGGGAGAGCATTTCGGTTCACGGCGGTGCCAAAAACGCCGTCACCAGGCGCCCAGTGGATTTGACGAGCACCACGCAGCAAAGTGGGCCCAAGTGATGTAGATGATGGAGACTTGAGAAGATGGTCCATGGGTGTGAAAGGTCAGTTGTTAGAAAGCAATCTAGAAGAGATCTAGTTGTTGGTCTCAGTTTGAAGATCTGGAAGTATATATATATATAGAGAAAGTGCGTTTTGCACAGAAAAGACCTTTTCTGACCTGTCGACCGAGTGGCCAGTCGAAGGTACATTCGCCAGATCTTGTCAGCGATTTGCTACCTGCACGCGCATAGGTGTCGTGGCGACGGTGGCAAGTTCGAACAATAAACACGTAAGATCTGCGGATCAAAGGTACCCCTATTCTGTTCTTTGAAATCCAGAATGGGCTTGTCCTTTTGGCGGCCATGAATATCCGTGTCCCACATGAACCAGACCCGCGATGTACAAGATAGACTAAAACCTGGAAACGTCTTGAAGCTCTTGTCATGAAGATTGCTCCCTGCTTTGCGAAGAAATGCAACATCTTCATGGTTCCAAGCCAAAGACGGACGAATTTGGTTACTTCCTGGGAGATTCCTTGGTGAAGACACACTAAGTACAGTACGCTTTGACTTCAATTAGAACAAAATCGGAACCGCTGGAGGCAAAGTCGTCCAGAAGTGCTTTTGGCTCTCTATCTTCACTTAGACTTGTCAGATTGGCGGTACATTGCATAGATGTTCAAAACATTTCAAACATAGATTGAGGTGCCTAACCAACTATTCCAGAGTTCTTGGGTTCATCTCTCGACACAGTCAAACGGCTGAACTACTCATCGCACGTGACTGTATGGCTTGAGGTTGATATTTCCACTGCATGATGTGTGTGAGCTGGTTTTAGGTGCCGATATGATTATTCATGAGT